AGATTTCAATAGTAATAAAAGGTTATGGTTGTTTTGTTGTAGATGAATGTCGACTTCAATGGATGAGGCTTAACCTTGATCATTGACAAAAATAAATGTAATTAATATGGTGGTTTACAATAGAATATTTTGCTTATTTATGAATTAGGTAGACCTTTGATGTATGAACATTATGTATGAACATTTAGAATAAAATGGGCCACATTGACATTTGTTCAATAAAACCTGAGCATCTTCCCACTCCTTGGAAGCATCAATTATTTCAACTATGTTGATATATATTCTCCATTTAGTCAGCTTTATATTTTTTTTTTCCATTTTTATAGGTCTTTGAATTTTTTTTTTTTTATTTTCATAGTTATAAATGGATAAAATGATTTAGCATGCTTAGGCCAAATCATTTGCGGTTTGAATTTTTTCTTTTAAATATTATTCTTCGCTTTAAATTTGGATAAACTTTAAGATATTCAAAATTTTTTATTAGATAATGTAGAAGAATTATTATTTTTTTTATAACATGCCATGCACATTGACTATGCTGGTTAAATACACATTCTTAAAACTTAATAGGTACCCAAAAAAAAAAAAAAAATCAAGTCATCCCCAACTCCTATCCTTAATCGCAAATTAGTATTTATATACAACTAAAATGAAAAATAACAATAAATTATTTTTTTACTACTAGGCAAAAGAAAATAAATGAGAAAATAATCTGAATTGATAATGATAATCATTTTGGCTACAATGGCAATATTACTTACCCAGTGCATTAGAAAAATTTACCCAGTGCATTAGAAAAATGAATATATGCACAAATTCTTAAAATCTCAAAAAGTGACCGCAAATAGAAATATGTAGTTCTAATTTTTTTCAAGTTTTCTAAATATTATTTTCTTTCAAGTCAATCAGATTTATAATATAAAAGAAAAAATATTAAGAAAATTAAGAATATTTAATCATCAAGAGTTCATCTATTTATTGCAAGGAAAATATAAATCTCTTACTATAATTACAAATTATTTAGTAACAAAAAAAAAAAAATAAAAGTAAAAAATTATTAGTAAAAATAAAACCCTGTTAAGAACCCATCCATCTAATAAAAAATGTTTCAATGTATATAGATATTTATATATCAATAAAATATTATACACATTTTAAAAATTAAAATTTTCAATTATTTGCCATCCACACACATATGTTCATTTTATTTAAAAAAAATTTTGAAAATATAAAATTTAAAAACTTTGAAGGTTTAATTATATATATTTTATTTGAAAATCTATTTTTTACAAAATACTAATCAGATCATAAAAATATAAAAAAATAATATACTTTTTTAGCTCTCTCCTAAATAAAATATTATATAATTCTATTTAAAAAGTTTATTTTTAAAAAAAATATATCCAATCAAATCATATAAAAAATATAAAGAAAAAAATATTAATAAAAATAATTTTTTTATTTTTTATTTTTTAACTCTTACTAAATAAATTATGTTTTAAATTAAATAATTCAAATAGAATCAAATATTAAAAAAATAAACTTATTAAAAATTTGTATGAAGAATGGTGCTCATTATTTCATATTATATTTATGAAAAATAAATTAAAAAAAAGATTAAAATTTGAAAAATGAAATGGCTAATACTGTATATATTTATTTAAAAGAATTTTTATAAATATATGCAATTCAATTAATAAATGTATTTTCTAATTGGAACTATGAACTTAGTATTAGGATATTCCAAATTAAAAGTTCGTTATGGGGATAAATTCCATTATTCTCCTCCGATTTATATTTATATAGACTAGTAGAGTTTATATTAACTGCTTATACTTTTTTTTTTACCACAAGTTTTCCCTTGTCCAGTTTAACTAATTATTTAAAAAATAATTTTTATAAATATATGCAATCAATTAATAAATGTAATTTTCTAATTGACTATAACTAAGGTTATTTTAGGATATTCCAAATTTTATTAAAGTTCGTTATGGAAAATTCCATTATTCTCCTCCTTATTTTTATATTTATATATACTATAGATTTATATTAACTGCTTATACTTTTTTTTTTACCACAGTTTTCCCTTGTCCATTTAACTAAATCTAATCTTATTTAGGATCAAATACTTACTTCTTACTTAAAAAAATTTTGAGTTCTTTCCGCTCTACCAACCATATCGGTTGCTTATACTTTAATTATATTTGTCTAATCAAATGTTAAAGACAATAACGCTTGATAATTCGCTCCCTTAAGTTTTAAACATCGGTATAAATGCTAAGTCACTGAACAGTATAAATAATTGAAATAGTGTTTTGACTAAGTTCAAAGTTCAAAATACTAATCGTTAGATGAAAAGTTATTTCCGAATTGAACTATATAAACTAGATTATATATAAACTCCTAATTAGTTGTGACTAACTTATCCTTTTCTCGGATTGCCCACAGTGATCAATGGTAGCCCCTATCTTCTCTTTCTTTTGCTTCGTGTTATACTCTTTCTTTTGCTTTTTATCTTTTATTCATTTTAATAAACTCATATATGTTTTCCTTATAACATATATGTTTTTTTTTTTCTTTTGCTATTGTTTCTTTATCTCTATATTTGAAGTTTTTTATCCATTCATTGTGAGAATTCGATCAATTCTTTGTGAGGATTTATTATTAAATAAAAAAATGATATTTAATTTTATTTGGTTCGAGACTTTAGATCTTGATTTGTAGGTGTAGAATTTCAATCAATAGAATTTAGTAGTGCGCTTTGTTCCTTCGTTGATACTATTAACACATAATGACGGAAACTTGTATGTGATTATCATATATTGCAAGTTCTTAGAAAAGCAATACAGGTATAAAATATCTACAGAAGTTATTATTTTGTCCTTCAAATCAATTAATTGACTAGTTGTTATTATGAAGATATATATCTTATGTCAAGATCATCTTCAAGTGGAAAAATTTAATATCATATTTTTTTAATTTTAATTTTATTATTCAAAAGAATATAAATTCTTTTAGTTTGACAAAGATCAGTAAACTTTATTAGCTATTAATAATAAAATTATACATCTAATTTATATAAATATTTATATTACTTGATATTATTATTATTAATGAATTATATTTTTCAGAAAAACTCATACTTAGTTTCTCAACGATAGTTATTTATGGCATAGTTGGAGTGATTATCACTTCTAATGAGTGAATGATACCTCTCTCTCTCTCTCTATATATATATATATATGAAAATTATAAAGTTAAGTGGATTCATCAGTTTTTAATGCCACATAAATTCATCAGTTAAGTAAATTCATAAGAATTAGAGGAAACTAGTATTATTTTAATCTTAAAAATAACAATACATAATTTTTAATTTGAAATAAACTGAGTAATGTCCTTATCACATTAACTTCTCATTGCATAGTATGGAATTTGTTTTTTGACATCAATAAACAGCTACATATTGAAATTTGTTATTTGTTTTTTTTAAAACAGTATTCTTTCAATTTAGATTCTGATAAATGTCAAGATATCTAAAACTTTTTTTAGATAATTTAGAGGATTTTGTAGTAATTGCTTATACACTTTACATAAATAGAGCCTATATAAATTCCTGCTTGGTTTCTCCGCGTTACATAATTGATAGACAAAGCATATAGTTGTAGTGTGTATTCCTTCTAATAAATGAGTAGTAGGCAGAATACATAAATTGACCCATAAATTTTATTATTTTAACTTTGTGTTTCCTTTATTTTTATTTTGACCATCAAACACTTCAATTTATAAAATTCTACTTATTAAACACTTCAATTTTCAAAATTATTTTGTTGAACACCTCAACTTGCAAAATTAGATTAATTAAGTACTCGTTAAAAAGTTGAATTTATGAAAATTATTATTTTAAAAGTCATGCTAACTACATATAAAATCTATATTTTACAGATAAAAGCCAAAACCTTAAAAAATATTGTTATTAGTGTTGAAAAGTGTGTAACATTATCAAAATTTATAAGTTTAAATGCACGATAGGTCATTTGTAAAATTCAGGATGTTACAAGATTAAAGTTACAAATTCCATTGATGAATTTATGTATTCAGCGACTAATAAAATTTTAGCACATTTTTATTGTTTGAAAATTATAAAGACGAGTAAATTCATCACTTTTTAATATTAAAACGTCAAAAATTAGTGGAATTAGTATTATTTTAATCATAGGTATACCAATACAAAATTTTTAATTTGAAAGAGATTAGTTAATGATTTTAATTTGAAAAAATTAATTACTATCCTTATCATATTAACTTCTCATTTGATAGGAACCTTAATAAATGGAATTGTTATTTGGTAGCTACATATTTAAGTATAAGATTGAAATGTATAAATTAAATTAGTATAAATTTTTCTTTCTAAAAAAAAAAATATATGATTCTATAATGATTATTCTTCATATATACGTAAATAGCTGCAATAACTAGTATAGATATTCTTCATAATTTTTAATATAATTAGGAGGTTTAATCCATGTCAATGCCCTTTTCGTGAATTAAATTTGCATTCTCACTCTTATGACTTTCCGAGAATTGAACTTACATTCTCACTCTTACAGAGATTGAGACCGCTTACCATCCCAACCATGTTCATAGTATTCTAATTTTTTTTCTTTTAATAATTCTTGAGCTTTTTTTTTTTTTTTTACATGTTTAATTAGTAGATGACATATATTTGAAATCTACTATAATTTAACTAATATATTTATTTAAATCACCCATAATCTTTTACACGCTTAGACATTAAAATTTTGAAAATTTTTTATGTTAATTTCTTTGAAAAGACATTTTAATAATCTAATCTATGAAAAAAATTAACAATTAAATACGTTGATTTAAAGAAAAATAGTTAAATATGCTTATTTACACTTTTTAAATATCAAATAATAACGATCAGAAGTAAAAATAAGAATCAACTATTATTATTTCCTGAAATTATATATAAAATACTTTCAATTACTTTTATTGTTGAATTCATTATAAAGTTGCAAAAATATAAACTTTTTAAAATACTACTTCCCAGTCACCAGTACCATATAAATATATATGAAGCAGAACCTTCAAGGGATTCCTAAAATGGCATTTGCATGTTCTTTAATAACTTTCCAAGCCATAATAACATGGCGATCTTCTGTAAGAGTGGCACCAACAGCAAATCTAATGAAATAAACTCCCTCAACCATCGCATGACTCATATAAATGCATCCTGAGGCATTAATTGACTCCAATAATTTTCTATTCAGCTCATTTGCAAGTGTCTCATGATTAGGCAATATTTGAACTCCATTTTTTCCAATTTCAATTGCTTCTGCTAGTATCCTAAAGCAAACCATTGCAAAATTTCTTGGCACCACTATCTCAAACCTCTTGTCCTCCATTACAAGTCCTTCAAAAAGTTTTGCCATTTCGATATGTTGTCTGAGGAATTTTCTCAGGTTACTCACACCATAGCTTCTCAGCACAAGCCAGAGTTTCATTGACCGAAACCTTCTGCTTAGGGCTATTTGCCAATCTTTGTAGTCTACGACTTGTGCTGAGTCAGAAGCCTTGTTCCTCAAGAACTCAGGATTTGTTGAAAGGGATTGTGTAAGACCCCTTGGATCCTTAACCCAGAGGCAGCAACAATCGAGATTTGTGAAGAGCCATTTATGTGCATTTAGACTAAAAGAGTTTGCCTCCTCTAATCCATCAAGGAAATGTTGAAATTCTGGGCATATACAAGCATTTCCAGCATAAGCAGCATCCACATGAACCCATATGCTATATTCTTTCGCTACGTTGCATAATGGCCTTATGGGATCTATAGCTGTTGTTGCAGTTGTGCCTATGGTTGCACAGAGAAACAATGGGATTAGACCTTTTTCTATATCTGATCGAATAGACAACCTCAGCAAATCAGGAGACAACGCGAATGCTGTCGATTTAGTTGTCTTAATAGCTCGAAAATTCTGCGGGTCAATTCCAGCAATCTTAGCTGCCTTTTGGAATGCAGAATGTGTTTGATCAGAACCATAAACAACTAACTTGGTGATGTTGCTTTTTCCAATACGACCTAGCGTTTGATCTCTGGCGGCAATTAGAGTGCACAAAATGGCTTCACAGGTAGTGCCATGAATAACGCCGCCACCATTTCCAGAGAAAAGAAAGCGGCTTGGAAGCTCAAGCATTTGACCAAGCCAGTCCATTACAATGCTTTCTAGTTCAGTTGCAGCTGGAGACGACATCCAGTTGAATCCAACGACATTGAAGCCAGTGCTAAGCATTTCTCCAAGAAAAGATGCAATGCTTCCACTTGAAGGGAAGTATGCAAAATAATTAGGACTCTGCCAATGTGTAATACCTGGAACTATATGTTTTCCCACATCTTGGAGGATAGTTTCAATACTTTCAGGATGAGAAGGGGCTGAGTTAGGCAAGCAATTTCGAAGATAGCCAGGTTCAACTTGGCTTAGAACAGGGTATTTCTCAATGTTCTGATAATAATCGGCAATGAAGTCTACAATCATATGGGCTTGCCTTCTAAATTCATCAGAGTTTAAAGGATTCATGGCTTCCTGCTTGTTGTTGGAAGATTTGCCTTCAATTTCTTGGTTAGTCTCAATGTTGCTCATTTTGAAATGGAAAGAAAGAGAAATTAATGGAGAGTAATAGGACAGATGTTGAATAATTTTGTGGTGTATTCTTTCTTTATGCTAGTACATCTTTATATGCGTGTGTATTTAATTTTTTCATTGGTAGATTACATTTGTAGATTTTAGAAATAACAAATTTTTTTTCCATTTTTACAAATAAGTTATATTTTTAGATTTTGGAAATTTCAATCTTTATAAAAAATAGGGCGATCATCATTATAATTTTATAATTTAATTTTAATAATCTTTTCTTTTGTAAAGATTTTCGTAATTTATATTTATATATGATTTTTATAAATTATATTATTTTAATTGGAGCCTCTCAATGAATTTTCTAGTGACTGCACGGCAAGAAGGGAGTTCATCAATTGAGCTAGTCTAACTAAGCTATTTATTATCCTGACAACTATTAGCCTCACTAGCCAAATTTTATTAATTATTGACCCAACTTCATAAATGATGTAATATTTGTTTTTTTTTTTTTCTCTCCACTTGGACCAACCCGCCCTTTACATTATCTCACTAAAAGTCAAATCCCTAATTAATAAGATGCAGAATAACTCATTCCTCTCAGTGCTGAGTAGATGAGGCTTAGCCATATGGATTGAAACACGTGTTATCTACTATCTTACTTTTCAAGATATAAATAATTTTAGGATAATTATTTTATTTCAAAATATAAAATTTTTTAAATATTTTAAAAATAATAAATAATTTTTCTCAATGTTACTGATATTTATAAAGTAAACCATTAGAAATACCTTAAGTTTGCCTTTTGTTATAATTATATTCTATTTTAAATTAACTCCTCAGACACTTCAATTTCTAGCTTTTGTAATAATTTTACCTCTAATTCAAATCAGTCCTTTTAAAATGAATAAAATAATAGAATATGGGACACATCAGGTTAAAATTTAGTTTTGCTTTTTAGTTTTAAAATAAAGGATAATTTGGTTTTCAAATGAAAATTAATTTGGTTTTGGAAGGATAAAATAATAATTCAAATCAATATCTTAGTTTTGAAATAAAGGATAATTTAATCAAATTATTCTTAGTTTTATTAAAATTTAAAAGAATTAATTATTTTATGAATCTGCATGCAAAAATCGATTTATATTTTAAGACAAATAGAGTAATAGAATAAAAGGATGAAGAGTAAAATCAAATTTATAACTGAATTAATATTCTGAATTACAAAAAGAATGAAATAATTTAGTTATTTTTCATTTTTATGTAAATTAAATTGAAGAGTTTATATATGAGGGTGGCCATTCTAACTAAAATTGTTGGAAACTTTATCAGATTTAACTAACAAATTTGAATTTATGAAATATTTGTGTCAGCTTTTCTAAACAATATATAGAAACAAATCCTAAAAGGTTAACAGTTCTCTTTAGTTTCAAGACAACTAAACTTTATTTAGACCTTTTATTAATTTGACCTCAATTTGACCTTTTTATAGTAACAGCATGCTTAATTATAAATAAAAATAAAAATATAATTAAAAAAAATACTCTCATCATTTTAAAATCATCATGTGACTTTGATAAAATGTTTTAAAAATAAAAATTTTAAAAAATTCTATTAGTCTAAATACATAATATTGCACATATCAAATTTTAATTTTTAAAATCAATGTGCTAATTAATAATTTAATAACATAAATTTGTGTTACATATCAAAACATCTCCAAGCATGACATAAAAATTAAATTAATAAAATATAAATTTTAATTACATATTTTATTTTGTATTATCTATATCTTACTATGAAAAGATCCTACTTTAAATAAAAATAAACAAATAACTTTTTTTTTTTTTTTTAAAAAAATTCTATTAGGTCTAAATTACATAATATTGCACCATATCAAATTTTAATTTTAAAAATCAATGTGCTAATTTTAATAATTTTAATAACATAAAAATTGTGTTACATACAAAACATTCTTTCCAAGCATGCATTAAAAAATTTAAATTCAATTAAAATATAAATTTTAATTAAGCATATTTTTATTTTGTATTATCTATATCTTACTATTTGAAATATGCCTACTTTAAATTAAAAATAAACAAATTAACTTTTTTTTTTTTTGCGCATCTCTTTTCAAATTTTTATATTTTAATTATAAATGTGCCAACTACTTGATGTGAATATAATAACTTTTTTTTTTTTTTGCACATGTCTCAAATTTTATATTTTTAAATTTATAAATGTGCCAACTACTTGATGTGAATATAATTTAAATTTAAATAATTAAAATTTTTTTTAAAAAAGATATAAATACTTTTTATTTGCAAATTTCATCATTAATTGTGGTTGAAGGTGTTATTGCTGGAAAAGATCGAAATTAGGGTAAAATTAACAGAAACAATAGAGTAAACTCGTAAAAACTTTACAAAGTTCAGGTTATTTTGATATATTAGGCCTTTTCATTTTTTTATGTGAACTTATCATGGCTGCTGCACATATGTGTAATTTTGTTATTATTTTTTATCATTTAAAAATATTAACTATATTAAAAAAAAATGGAAGAGTTTTATTGAAAAAAATTGAAAATATTAAAATAATGTGATATTCCTTCAACCTTGCATGCTTGCTAAAGGTGTTGGCGATTTTTACAAAATGAGGAATCATAATTATTTAAATTCTTCATATCCCGCTATTTTCCATGAGTTTCCTCTATGTAAGCTAGGATAGGCTACCAATCTAGCTACATTTGGAAGAATATTTTGGGTCATTGACAAAGAACTGGGTGGGTGATGGAAAATGGCAATGAAAATTAGCATTTGGCAGGATCATTCGATGAGGGATCTTCATGATTTCATAATCTAGTCAACCCTTTCCATTTGGATTATAATGTGAAGGTTAGTAACTTAACAATTTTGATTCTAGTTCTTGGGACAGTGATTTAATCTCGGTGATTTTTTCCCCAAGCGAAGTCATAGCTATATGTATGACCCATTTTTGTTTAGAAAGAGTTTCGCTAGGGCGGAGGGATGGGGACTAGGGGATCTTTGACCCCCTCCCCCGTCCCCTCAAAATTTTGAGAAAAAAAAATTATAATTATCTATATTAATATTTAAATTTTATTTGGTAAAAAGTTAATGATACACTTTGGTATTTAACAAACATGAAAGTTCAATAGACAACCAAACAATTAAAATTTTATTTTTTAACTAGACAAAAAGTAATTGGTTGTCATAAGTCACAAGTTAAAGCCCTAATCTAATAGTAAAGACAAAAGTTTGAGAATAACTCAAATATGTATAGCACAATAATTGTCTTTTACTCTTCTTTCTTCTTTTCTTTTCCTCTATGCTCTCTCTCCTCTCTCATGGCTTCCTTCTCTTAAAATTCCAAAACAAATGGAATAATCAATAGTCCCCAAGAACAAAGTGGTCCCTCAAGGGCGGAGCAAGAAATTTTTTTTAGGGAGGCCAAAAATAATTATTTAACAAAAAATATAAACTCTAAATATCATATAAAAAATTATAACAAAGGTTCATAAACTATATAAGAGAAAAAGATTACGTAAATATAAAAATAAAGCAACTTACTTGATTATTTAAGTTACGCCGGCTCGCTATGTTCTTGTCAACTGTAAATTTTTTAGAAATTTCTCTTTATGATGTACATAATTAAAGAATCTCTAAGAAAATCATCTTCCATTCGGCAACTAAGCTTTGTCTTCACAATTTTCATAGCTGAAAGAAGTCGCTCAATAGTTGCTATTGAAACTGGAGAGTTAAAATAAGTCGAATTAATTTATCAATCAATGGGTATGATTTTAACTTTCATGTTTCCACCAATCCTCTGCATAAGTCTGTAATAGTATATAAATTTTTTAACCCAGATGATTAGCTACATCACGCTCATAATGCTACAATTGAAACTTTAGAGCAATTTTTTCGTGATCAGAAAAAATCTTGAGGATAAACCTTCTGAATTAAAGTGCAAATGTCATCAATTTTAAATGCTTTAAAAACATCTCTCAGATCCAAAGCTATACTTAGAATGAGAAATTATGTTGTTTGCTCACTGAATCTATAATTCAACTTTTGTAATTGATGATCTATAGCAGTAGTAAATATTTTTACCATATAATGATACTCTACTATCACTATATCTTGGCGACGACAAGATCAAATTATGTTAGAGAAGCATGCACTCATATTAGGAATATCAGTCTTGTCGCTTACAAAATGATATCACATTTTCTAGTAGAGCCGCCTGATAGCTTTTAGAGTTAAAAACAATTCTTCTTTTTATTCATTACATTTCAATCTGTGAATTACAGAGTTTATATACACAACATATAATTATTATAGAATATTTACAATAACTGCGTTTGATTTGCATTTGATCCTTTCCTTATTTTCTTGATCCAATTTCCTTATTTTTCTGATTCTGCCTGATTTCCTTATTCTTACACTCCCCCTCAAGTTAGGTCGTAGGGTCTCCGACACCCAACTTGACTAATGCTTGATTGAAGATCTTTCCTGGAACTGCTTTGGTGAGTCTATCTGCCAACTGCTCCTCAGACCGAACAAATGGCAAACAAATGCTTCCATCTTCAAGTTTCTCCTTGATAAAGTGTCTGGATTGAAGATTCTTTCCTGGGAACTGCTTTTGGTTGAAGGTCTATCAAGATCTTTCCTGGAACTGCTTTGGTGAGTCTATCTGCCAACTGCTCCTCAGACCGAACAAATGGCAAACAAATGCTTCCATCTTCAAGTTTCTCCTTGATAAAGTGTCTGCAGCTTCCACATGTTTGGTCCTATCATGTTGTACTGGATTTTCAGAAATAGTTATAGCTGCTCTATTATCACACAGCAGTTTGCAGGACCTTCCTGGAGGGAAACCTAACTCTGTCAATAACTTCTTCAACCAGAGAACTTTGGCTAAACCCCGTGCAATCGCTCGGAACTCTACCTCAGCACTGGAGAGAGCTACCACCTTCTGCTTTTTACTTCTCCAGGTGACCAAGTTATCGCCAACAAGAGTGAAGTACCCTGA